AAAGGGGAAGCAATGTTAACTGTGAATAGATATTTTGTTTGTTTACCAATACAACTTTCTGCTAATGGAGAAAAATGAGATGGAAGAGAATCTGACAGTAGGTTTGCTTGCCTCTGTGTCATATATGAGAGACCTGTTAGAATTCCTGTACTATTCTGTCAGCAGTGCAGAATCCAGACACCAATATTAAATGTCACTAGACACTGAGCTGGCAGTAACCTCTCTCTACCTACCATATCATTTTGACTGGGGTTAGAACATTTCTTTCCTGCAAGGGGACAAACAAGGGGTTTAATCACGCTGTTCCAGTGGGTAGCCCATGGAAATGGCAAATTGCATGCCTTGCTGCAGGACACATGAACTGCAGTTGATGCTACCCTAAGTGCAGGAAGAGGAGTTTGAAAAACAAATGTAGTTACGGTTTTATACACAGTGACCAAAAATGTTTTGAGGTGAGATGGACCAGGATTCACAGCAAGCCAGTAAAATGTGCAGGGCCGCACGATGGAAGGCAGCAGCAATTCTGTGCCTGTAACACACTGCAGCATTTATGAAGGAAAGGCATAAATAATTTGTGTTTGAAATGAGAGAAGATTTAGGAAGACAGCCTGAAGTAAGTCAAGTAGTAATTTAGCTCAAGGGTAAACATTTCCTCATCTTACTTAAAATAAGAATCAGGTTTACAAAAGCAGTTAGCAAGAAAATGTTTTTTTATGTCACCAGCTCTGTCACATCAAGAGAATCGCCAGGATTTGGGACTGAACTTGGCTGTTTCTAGACAGCAGATCATATGCTGTGCTACCGCCTGCCTGGCACATCTGCTCCCTTGACTCTCTGTTTGAGTGTCTGCCTACCGTTAACTTCCTCCTCCCTTGCGCACTGGATTTTGCTAGCAGTCGGAGAGGAGCACCGCTGGATGACACAGCTTAGGTCTGGTCATCAGCACCACTGAAATTACCTGCAAAGTGTCCTCGGGAAAAGAAAGGCTTCAAAACTGGTTGAAGGATAACGCTGTCTCAGCTGAACGTGTTGGGTTAATGGGAAGAGGAAGGAAAAGAAACAGAAAAACACAGTGCAGTATGTGGCATGCACAGGTGAAACTTTCACATGATTATAAGCACTCCGTCACTGGACTGGCATTGGTAATGATATATAAGCATGCCTCAGTAAAAACAGTTTAACAGTGGATTAATAAGCGGATTAAGAAAGCACAGTCATACTGGAATATTGCCAGAATTATTTTTAAAACTGTACCTTAAACAAAACAAGAGCAAGCATTGAACAAAAATATTGGAACTGTATGACTGTTATTGCCTGATTTAATTCATGATGGAAAGGGTATAAAGATGAAAAATGTTAACTTCCAGTCTTTTGAAAGACTGTCTCAGCTGCCAGCTGATCTATTAGAGAAAGATAAAACTTTAGGAAAAACCAGTTTAACAAATCTGACAGACTTTTTTTTGAGGGGGTAATACCTGATGAAGGAAAGAATGAATTCTGGTGCTAAATAAACTTCTTATAAAAAAGAAGAAAAATATAAACTGAGACGGAGTGTATCACTGTGGCAGTGATGCTACAGTGAAGGCTGAAGGTTGGGTTGCCCCCATCTAAAAGACCTCTGGTATTCTGACTTCAGAAAGCTCTTCAGTGTGCACATTATGTCGTGGTTTTTAATGTTATTTAAGCATATGCCCTCAGCTATACACATACTGTGCACATTTAACAGTCTTTCCTAAAACTGCTGTCACAAAATGCAGTAACTATGCTTGCTCCCACAGATCAGAGTGTTTTAGGAAAGGTTTTCCTGACATTTTTTGAGTTATTATCTGAATACAGTTAGCAACTGTAGGAGAAAACGCAGAAAATCTGGGACTAGGAGAAAAGATCAACTTTTGATATGCTGGTTTTAAATGTCAATTAAATATTTGTCTTAGAATAGACAAATGATTCTGTACACCCTATCTTTCCAGTTTTGAAGAAACTTGTTTTAAAAAAGATACGAGTAATTAGTGACTCAGTGATAAGCAAATGCAGTTCATTATTTTCCTTTTGTGATCAGAGTAGGCACTGAAGTGGGATAACACAGAGAGAAGTTAGATATTCGTTTTCATACCAGTGAGCACGATTGACTGATTTTAGCAACAGGTGAGATATCTGATTATTTTACAGTTAGCAGCTTTTCACTCTCAGAATTTTTATGCTACAGATTATATGCAGTAAAATACTAAGACTACATTGCAAAGCTGAAAGGAGTGTATTTCCGAGGCTTTGGGCTTGCAGACAGCCTTCTGAGTGTGCTCGTTACACGGAATGGTTGCAAGCTTTTGGGGGCAGGCAGTTTGTCTCCACAGAAGGGCACAGTACCTGGCGTAACCACATCCCTTGCCCTCTTTGGACAACTTCTTCTGCAGGCTAAAATTTGTATGAGATCATTAACCATTTCCTGTGTGACAAAATGGTGTTTAACTATCCCCACTGATACAAGCACAGAGGTACTTGAGAAGATAACTGGCTAAAGATATTAATTAAGTGTATCTATAGACAGAAGTAAGGACGCTTGGAAGCACCTTGGCTACAGCAATGTGGGCTTCCACACTCCTGTGTAAGGGAGTCTCTGAACCCCACATCTTCTTCCCTGTCCATCGCTTTCTGTTGTGTCAGCAGAGCTCAGGTAGAAACCAGGTAATAGTAATAATAATAACACATCCTGAATGTGTTTCTTTTCAGCTTCTTCCAATCACTAAGAGCTGATCCAGGGTTACAGCATGGGCGGAAGAGCCTCACGATTTTTTAAAAATTTGTTGATGTAACCAAGGTTCTTCTAGGTGTAGATGGACTTTTTTTTTTCCACACTCAAATAAAATCGTAACTGACAGAACAAACAGATTACTCCTCACTTAAATGCCTAGTCTTGATCTTTGAATGCTGAAGTGCCCCCTTCAATTACTTTCTGTCATGGGTTCCTTTCAGATGTGTCTAATCCGTTGTTTAATGAGTACACAGCTGCACATAGCTCTATCCACATCAGGTTGTTATTATAAATTCTCCTTGCCACTGTGCATACATCCATTAGATTGTTCAATTATAGCTCTCTCTGAGGTGGTGCTTGCAGTCTAAGAACTATATGTATAAAGAAATAAAAAACAGAGCAAAACTTGCATATCATTAACGGTATTAAATTGACAGGTTAGTCCTTGGCACTTCCTAAGCCTTAAGAGCCTTCATAGAGTTTCAGGTGCAGCCCTGTAGCTGAACTATGAGCATAGGGCCTGGTCAAATGTCATCAAAAGGTGACTTTTCTGGTCAAGCCACTAAGATTTTTGACGTAAAAATGTCATTGGATTAATTAGTTGATAGAGCTATCTACACATTTATATGAAAGATACAAATTCTCAAGACTCTGAAGAGTTAAAGTTGTTCAAAGCACCTTTGGTCTTTCTGTGCTTTCAACATTTCATTTGTTTCAAAGTTGACTTTAATTGAAAATTGTTGTGCATTAAAAGGATTTCCTTAGGGCTCATGGTTTAAAGCTTCTTACTTTGAGAACAATAGGACTAACAGAAAGAATGGCTTTAAGATCTGCACCTCTAGGAACAACATATTTACAATTAAATTTGGCTTTGTTCTGTTGTTTAAAGTGCCCCCTGTTTATTGCCATGTACAACATAAATTGCATTTTGTATCAACGCTCAAATGTTTATGTTCTTAGCGTGAAAGACTTGTGTGGTGGTGAGCAGTCACAGCCAAAGGGACTGTAGGAAACCACATCCCAGTTTGCCGAGTAGAATCTTACTTTTACCTCTTTTGCCAATTTCTCCATCCCACCTGTTGATAAACTTGCATATCATCCCACCCGTGTAGCTGCAATATAGCATGAATACTCTGAAACACACATAAGCTCTGAAGCTGACCTTCAGTTGCCATAAATTGTTCCAATATAGTCGGAGGTACACACAGATTAGGATTGCTGGCCCTTTGTCTTTCAAAATACAGAGGAACTGGTAACTCAAGAAACTATTGAAGACATCCAGACTGAATGGATGACATCCGTGATATACACAATCTATGTGTGCATGGATGTAAAGCAAATATTTTAATTAAAAACATTAACAATGAAACATATAGAGTGGCAGCATCTGTGTATTGTTATTTCCTGACAGATCGTTGATTGCACAATGTTTTCTGTAAATCACATAAAACAAATAGAAAAGCCTCTCAAACAAGCAATTTCAAAGGAGGAATTTGACCAGCAGAAAATCATTTGAGTCACAGGGGCTTGCAGCCTTGCTAACTAGACACGAGGCCAAATTTCCTGCTACTGCAGCTAGCTATACAGTTCTGCTGACTTAATTGCCATCTTGCCCACTCACACTTTTGACCTTGTAAAATTTGATTGATAAAATTACAATTAAGCAATAAACACATCAAGACATTAAACATCAAGACATTAAACATCAAGACATTTAAACTCATTAAAGAGGATATATTCCTCTCCCCTTTATGTGAACACCCAGGGATTTTCTTTCACCCTTCTTGCTCACTCGAGATTTAGTAGCCTAATCTGCAAGGTCGTGTGACTTCACTGGATGCTTCACAATGTATGCCTGATATGCAGGTATCCTATATTAGTGGAGCAATTGGTTTTCCATTATGAAATATCTCATGGAATGTAGCAAGCACACAGCTGTGCCAAGACCATGTGCATGATTTTCCTATACCACCCATACTAGTTTCACTGATTACTCACTTCCTTAGCTACGAAAACACACGGCAAGTTTCTTCAGGCTCAAACATCTGTACACAAACTATTTGAGCAAAGATATTTCCATGCACTCACAGCTCAGTTGCTGTGACTGGCATTTTAAACCTACCTTAAATAAACAAAATTTGATTTCAAAAAGCACCAGGCTAACAAATTAA